AGGCACTTAGGTAATGGACTTGTTAATTTTTTACTCTGGTCTTCACTTCATTATTCAATACCTTTTTCTGAATTGTCCAAGCTGAACCAACTTTCCTTTCCTTTATGCCTCCTTTATAGCTTTTCCAGTTTGTCTTATGTGCTATTATGGCTTTATATGCCATTTATATTCATTGATGGTTTCTTAAATTAGTGTACTGAAATAAGAATAATGACTATTCTTCCGACTCAGAATCTGTTCCTGCTTGTGTCCCATCAGGTTATAAACTCCAATAGATGAGAGCCTTAAATCGTTTTTGTAGCATCTATATGTGGCACCTGGCCAAGTGCTTTTTACTTTTGTAGGAACCCAATAGATGTTGGACTGACAAACCTTAATTTTTAAAATCTTCAATATAGGAGAAACCCATTTTCTCTCTTGTCATATCCACAATGGGAAAAATTTCTCCCCCGTATTTCCAGCATTGTTATGGAACTCCTACACTCTTTTACAAATGACACTATACAAACAACATCAGTTCTCTTTTCCAGGAGTTTCCATTTAAAATAATTTCTTTGAAAATGTGTAAGTTTAATAGAGTAAAATACAATATATTTAAGAAAATATTTATTTTTATAAGTTTATATATATATAGCAAAAGTAGAAAAGCAAGAGAAAAAATGATACACACAAGGTACTGCCCATTCCCCTGAATCCTAGCCCTGTGAAATCTTGGGTCAGAGGCCAAGAACATTTCTTTATCACTATATATCATTCAAGAGCACAATATCCACCAGATGCAAAGAACATATCTTTCTCATTCCTTTTTTTGGAAGATGCCAATATCGTATTCCTTTTCCTCTAAATATATAATCAGATATAGTCACAGAAAAAAAAAACACAATAAATTAAACTTCTGCATTTACAAACTTGCTAATGTATTTGAAGCATTCAAGTGTGGTAACCACACTTCTCTCTGTGTCTCCCACTGATGAGTTAGGCCCACTATTCATTCTCTTGTTTCTAGTTCTTGTACATGCTGCTACTTGGTTGGTTGCTTTGCCAGTCCCTCTGTGTATCTCTTCCTCATGGTTTAGTTATTTCCCAGAAAAGACTGATAAGAAGTAAATGTTTGAATTCATGTCAGTCTGAAAAATGTCTTTTTTTTTCCTCTTTCACTTGAATGACAATTTAGCTATGAATAGATTTGTAGATTAAAAATTATTTTCTTAACTGGAACTTCTAGCATTCTATTGTGTTGCAGATGAATTTCTCTCTCTGTCTGAAAGGTTTTAATGTTTTTTTCCTTGATGCAGAATTTTACGTTGATGTGTCTAGGTATGATTTCTTTTTCAGTAAGTGTGTTTGATAGTTTGTGGACTCTTGATCTGAAGACTCCTGTGTTCCTCAGCTATTACTGACACTAGTATTTCTTTGATAATTTCCACCTTTGTATTTTCTTTGTTCTCTCTTTTTAAAACAATTTCCTCCATTACTAAAATTGGTCCTTTATATCTGTTTTCTCAAATGTTTCCCACAGTATTGTCTTTTACTATACCTTTTAGGAGACTTAATTTAACTTTTTATTTTAAACATTATATTTTTACCTTTAAGAAGTCTTTTATATTCTCTTTTTTTGATAATCTTTTATTATTGAGTTCTACATAATTATTCTATTTCTGTTTTTAGCTTGAATTATTCTGTTTTGTTTGGGATCAACTTTTCTTTTTATTTTCACACTCTGAGTTTTCTTTGTGTGCCTGGTGATTTTTGATTATCTATTTAGATTTAAAATGGAAGGCTTACATAGCCATTGTGGGTTTCTTGTGAGTAATTAGAACTATGTTCGAGCTGGCTCTTTCTCTTCAGTAGAAATTCTGACTGGGAACTTCGTGTGAAATAGGAGAGGGCTTGGGTAGATTTACTGGCAGTCTTTATGGGGACGGATCCTCTAAATCCCAGAATTAGGTAGAAGCCTTAGCTTTTCAGTTTTTTTTTTTTTTTTTTTTTAAGTTCTTTTCCCCCCCCCCCCCCGTCTTTTTTTTTCCTCTCGGTTTGTTTATCATTTCTTTCTTTTTCTTTTCTTTTTTTTTTTTTTTCTTTTCTTTTTTTTTTTTTGAGACGGAGTCTTGCTCTGTTGCCCAGGCTGGAGTGCAGTGGTGCATCTCCGCTCAATGCAAGCTCCGCCTCCAGGGTTCATGCCATTCTCCTGCCTCAGCCTCCTGCATAGCTGGGACTACAGGCGCCCGCCACCACGTTTTTTTTTTTAGTTGAGACGGGGTTTCACTGTGTTAGCCAGGATGGTCTCGATCTCCTGGCCTCGTGATCCGCCCATCTCAGCCTCCCAAACTGCTGGGATTACAGGCGTGAGCCACCGCGCCTGGCCTATCGTTTCTTTTAGAGAGGAACCCTAAGGGTTTCTATTTTGTTCTGTGGGTAAATTCTAGCAGCCTACACCTCTAACTGCTGGAGAGGAGAGGGGAATAGTGGTGGTGCTGGGGAATGTAGACTGATAACAGCTTGTCCCATGTGAACCTGTAGCTTGATCCTTTTTCAGCCCCGTTTCTCACTCCTACCATTCCAGCTTGATTCTAAGTAGTTACTGTCCTAGTGAATAGCTTCCACCTCCTTTGTGGCCCTCTTATGGTTTTATTGGCTTCTTATGTTTTTCCATCAACCTGTTCCTATCTACTGTCTGTCATCTAGAACAGACGTTTTGAGATGTCAAATGTTTTGAGCTGCTGGCTACTTGTTTTTGTAAATAAAGTTTTATTGGCACACCCATGCTCATTTGTTTGCATATTGTCTGTCTGGAGCTGCTTTTGTGCTACATTGGCATAGTTGAGCAGTTGAAACAGAAGACAGCAGAGCTAAATAGTTGCCACAGAGACTGTGTGATATGCAAAGCCTAAACTATCTACTCTTGGGTCCTTTACAGGAAAAATTTGCCCATCTCTGGTCTAGAAATGTTTTGACATTTTTCATTTTCTTGTGCTCAAACCTACCAGCCTCACCTTCTCACCCTCTTCATAGATAAGTAATTAATTCATTGTAATGTTCTCTTTTAATTCAGTAAGATCTGAGGAGGCATATAAGCTTCCTCAAGCCTCCAAATGTCTACTGTCTGCCTGTTCTGTCCTCTTGAACTGGAAAGACAGAGTCCTCATTCTTATACTCTGTAATATACTGATGGTCTGCTTATTGATTATTGTCTTCCATGTATGACCTTTTGAGGTGCAACAGCCAGGACTGTGTGTAATTCCTTGTTCCTTAATACAAGGCCAAGTATACAGTAAGCCTTCACAAAATGTTTGTTGAATGAATAAATTAATATCCTTATGTTTGAATTTTCTTTTCAAGGTGGTGAGGAACAGCTATTTTTTTTCTTCTGAATACACATGTAAAATTCCTTTACCTATTAATAATTCATTTTTATATCCTTTTTCAAGATTAGGTGTATAAACAATGGTTAATCTTATCGGGAATGGAGAGGACCTCGTGTTCGAGAGGCATGCCAGCCTACTTATTTGCATTCTACCTCTTTCTACTTTTTCATGTTTGTTTTTTTTTTAACTGAGTAATGCAATATATTATTTTTTTCTTCACAACGTTGCATTATTTTATATGTTAACAAGTTGTGGCTTAAGTAACCATATGTTTTGTAGCTGAGGAACTACCCGCATAATGATCCAGAGTGTTTTAGGAACAGTATATTTCAAATATTTTTCAAATGTGATTTTTCAAGAAAATGTCTGACTGTGTGAAATGATTGCAAAGGATGATTGTGGAACAGAAGAATTTTAAAATAGGAATAAGAATAAAATCTTAGTTGAGTAGTTTTTACTGTGTTTTGATGTATATTTTTGTTTGTGTTTCTCTTCTCGACCATCTGACTATTATTTAAAATCATTTCCCACATAAATTAAGAACGACGTACTAAGTTCTTAAAGAAATGATTTTGATAGTAGACATTTCCATTGGAGTACATTTGTCATTTCTTGTACTGCAGTGAATGTGTTTTCTCTTGAGTCATGGTGTCTTTAATAGTACCAATTTAAAATGATAGCAGTACGTGAAGTAGAGTCAGCACCTGAATTATTGGCTTATTTGAAAATTAAGTAAATGGCCTCTTTTAAGATCTTCTGCAGAGGAAAGTATAGAGCATTTTTAATAGATATGTTTCTTTTCCTATTATTTCCCATAAAAAAGAAACAGAATTGGGGACTTGTAGTTATTTGTTATTTGATTCATCCCATCTCTCTTGAACTCTTCCAATACATTAGCAAGTTTGTAAATGCAGAAGTTTAATTTATTGTGTTTTTTTTTTCTGTGACTATATCTGATTATATATTTAGAGGAAATGGAATGAGATATTGGCATCTTCCAAAAGAAGGAATGAGAAAGATATGTTCTTTTCACCTTGTGGATATTGAGCTCTTGAATGATACAGTGATAAAGAAATGTTCTTGGCCTCTGACCCAAGATTTCACAGGGCTAGGATTCAGGAGAATGGGCAGTACCTTGTGTGTATCATTTTTCCTCTTGCTTTTCTACTTTTGCTATATATGTATAAGCTTATGAAAAATAAATATTTTCTTAAATATATTGTATTTTACTCTATTAAGCTTACACATTTTCAAAGAAATTATTTTAAATTGAAACTCCTAGAAAAGAGAACCAATGTTGTTTGTACAGTATCATTTGTAGAAGAGTGTAGGAGTTCCATAAAAATCTGGGGAACAGTAAAATGTAGTCAGTGGAAAATATCATTGTAGTATTTACATTAGTACTCTTCAGTATAATTTTCCAAGATGATGGAACTATTCGTAATCTGTGCTGTCCCATACAATAGCCATTAGCCACATGAAACTACTGAGTACTTGAGACATGGCTACTGTGAAGGAGTGCAATGTTTCTTTATATTTAAATATTTTAGTACAGTAATTTTATTGTCCTTTTGTAATTATAGACTAACATTTTAATTTTGTTCTACTTAATTTTTGATTCTTTTTTCTTTCCAGGAAAATATATGCAGATGATGAACATTCTTAAGCCAATTGCCTTTGATGTTATTCATTTCATGTCTCAACTATTTGATTATTACTTGTATGCAATATATACCTTTTTTGGTCGGAATGATTCAGTAAGTCCACCTTTAGAGGGAAAAAATTTTTCTTCTAAAATTTATTTTATAAATGTCAAAGTTTTTTGTTCTCTTTGTAGAAGATGCACAAATAACATTATTTTGGGGAATGCATAAAAAACAAAATTATTGATACCAGCTTTCTGTCTGCCTTATTGCCTTACTTTTATATTAATTTTAAGCTTTCGTATGCTAAACACATTCAACTTTTTGGAAGAAAAAGTGCAATGTCTGTTTCTAACTTTGACATGTTTTGGCAATGAAAAATGTACAGATTGCTTTATTTAAATCTGGCTCCATGTAAAATACAAAACAGTAAATGAGACATTTTAAATATTGGCTAACAACCTTAGCAGTCACTAGTACATCTAAAAGATAATGAAAAATATTTATTAAAATAATTGAAAATCTGAACTGAGCCATCTACCTGCCATAGAATTAATGTTTTTCTGCACCTCCTTTTTGCGTTTCCAAAACTGTTATTGAGTATATCTTTTTCTACCACTCACAGAAAATAACACAATATTAGGCAAGTAACTAATTTGATACTTTAAAATTAATTATGTGATTTGCATAGATGTTTGACAGTTTTCTGTGTAAAAACATTCCATTGAGTCCTATGAATATAATACTAGTTATATTTCACATCTTTTTAAAAATGTAAATTTCAATGTATAACTACATTCATTATATAAATATTTATATCCTTGCTGTGATCACAAGTATGTCAAAGACATAATCATTTTATATAGGACCCGAATTTCTGGGGTTCTTAATTCTGAAAAATATTTCTTAGAAAGAATGCTAATATGACCAGTGACAAAATGTTGCTGCAGAATTTATATACTATAAAGTCTGTATTAATTCATCACCCTGAATTTGGAAACTCACTAAATATTAATCAAGGAAGACCTTATAGAGTTTTAGCTAATTGTCAGAATGTTTTAGTCTTGTAGGTGAGCCTTACTTTGTCTTTTGGGCCATGCCTCTAGACCAGTCCTGTCTAAGAAATTTCATAATAGTAGAAACATTCTGTATTAGCAATGTCCGGTATGGTAACCACTAGCCACACATGGCTTTTGAGCACTTGAAATATGTATGACTAGTGACTTAGGAACTGAATTCTTAATTGTGTCTAATTTCAGTTAATTTACCTTTAAATATAAATAGCCACATGTGACTACTATCATATGGGACAGAACAATTCCAGAACACATTATTGATAAGGTGTGTTAAAATAAGATCTTTCTGAAACTTTTGGGAACCAAATGGTTTTGGATGTGATTTCCCAGCTGATTATATACTGACACAGAATTTTTTCAGAATGGCATCCTCTAGTACCCCAGAAATTTAGCAAAGTATGGTTACTTATTGTAAAATATATTGCATATTTGATTTAAGATTTGTTATGAACACAGTATTCTGATATTTTACATTTAAACCATTTTTAATTCTGTAAGACTCAGTAAGAGCTATTTAATTATACTGAAACAAAGAAAATCTATACATAAATAGCACAAATAAGCACATGCATGTGTATAATATTGAAGTGGTAGTTTTTAATTTCCTAAGAGAATAAGCTTTTCAGGCCCATTAGAAATCATAGAAGTTTTCATACTCATAAAAATAAATAAATACTCCAAATTTACCCTATTAAGTGTTGAATCTTAGTGGTACCAGGGGAGGGGGAATCAGGTAATGTGTAGAATGGGAAGAACAGGTTATATGGTTGTATCTGCTTCTCTGTCAAAAGAAAGGGACTTGTGTGAGAGAATTTAGATGGATGCTTCTTGTGGAAAAATAAGCATCTTTTTCTCAGGGGTTCTGGCTTCTAGAAATCATTGGTTGGGGACACAGTATATACATTAGTCCAAAGGATTCCTCCTATTAATACTATTTCCTCCAGAAACTCCTGCTATTAACTGAACTGGTTACTACCTACTTCCTCATGCTCTATTTTATATCTGATCCATTGGATTCTATTATAATAATGTTATTCATAGTATTGCTTTATCTTGCCTTGTCCCCAGCTTTCCATTGTTCACCTCTTAAGTTATGTTTTCTTTGGTCTTTCTGGTTCACATTTTTTTGTGAAGACCATCTGTAACTTACTTAAAACAGTAGTAAACACATAGTAGACACTCATGGTGTATGGATTGATCTTCTAATTATTTGCCATTCCAGTAAATCTTATGAACATTCTTATTTGACAACAGTTTGTGAGCCTCGTTTAAGGTTACCTTTCATTAGTAAAACTGTTTCTTTGTAGAGAGCCTATAAATAGGTATCTGTATATTTAAGAAATGAATTAAATTCCAATTCCAGGTATGACAGACTAAAACCTTTCTAGATAATATTTCCTGCAGAAAACAACTATAAAATCTGAATGTTATAGAAAAGGCAACTATTTGAAGACACTGGAGAGTAAACAGAAGCAGCAAATAGACTCTGGTGAGGGGTCCATGCTAGTCTGCAGATGGGAGAAAGGGGAGCTATGAAAATAAATTTTATCCCCGTGGCTTTTTAGCTCAGGGCTAAGTGCAGTCCATGTGGCCCACGGGTAGAGACAAGCACAGGAAGACCTGAAGTTTTTATGGACTGGAGAATCAGAAAAGTGGAGCCAGAAAACTGGAAACACTAAAAATAGTAGAGGAGGCTCAAAAGAAAAAAATCCAGAGAGGGGATTTCCAAATTCAGTCCACCTATATCTCAGACTGTGAAATATGTGATTCCATGATCCATGATTATATAGAACAAACTGACTGCAGCTCAGTGAAAGAAAAAAAATATAAACAGAGACCAAAGCTGCTGCACAAGAGACAGTTTATAGTTAAAGCCCAGCCAAGAAACTTATGTACTGAAAACAAAGGAAATGATGTTTATGGGAGAAAAATGACAGTATCCAGAATCTCCAGAATGAAATCGGTGATGTAATCTAACTTTACGTAACAGACACAGCACCAAATCAATCTAGTTTAACTCTAAGATACTGGAACCAAGGGATAAGGATTTTAAATGGGCTTTTATCACTGTCTTCAATGAATTAAAACAAAATATATTTTAAATGCTTGAACATCTCAGCAGAGAAATAGTAAATTCTGGTAGTGACAATAATTAAAAAAAAAGGAAATCCTAGAAATGAAAAATATAATTTCAAAAACAACAAAAAAGTTTACTCTATATACTTAGTAGCCAAATGGACATGACAGAAGAAAGAATATGTGAACATAAAGATAATCAAAATTATTCAAAGTGAAGAGCGTAGAAAAGGATTAAAAGGAAAAAAATCTCACAGACGTTTGATTATATCACATGGTAAAACATACATGTGATTGGAATACTAGATGGAGAAGAAGAGAGAGAGAATGAGTCAGAAAAAATATTTGAAAAAACATTGGCCAAAATTTTGCAGCTACAAGGTGCTAAATGAACAGCGAGAAGAGGAAGCATAAAGAAATGTACAGCGGAGTACCTATGATGAAAATTTTTCTTGAAAAACATAGTAGATATATTATATAAAAGGGACCAATAATCTGATTAACAGCTGACTTCCCATTAAAAGGCTATGGGGACTTTTTGTACCTTGAAGGTACAAAAGAAAAAGAAATACTGTCTATTCAGAATTTTATATCCAGTAAAAACATCATTTGAGAATGAAAGTGAAATTAAGATACTTTTAGATTAAAAGAACAAAAAACTAAGAGAATTTGTCACAAGGGACATATAAAAATTCCTAAGGGAAGTTAATAAGACTGAAGGGGAATGATAACACATGAAAACCTAGATCCTCAGAAAAGAGTGAAGAGCATTGGTAATGGAATCTACCTGTGGAAATTCAAAGATAATTTTTTCTTTTTCCTCTTACTTTCTTTATAAACCACAGGGCTGTTTAACAGTGAAATCATAGCATAGTCTTCCTGGAGTTCATAATACATGTAGATGTATTACATTTAAAAACTATAACAAAGTATGTGGGGAGGGTGTGGACGTATAAGATTGCAAGATTTCTGTATATTAGTAAAGCAGTGATGAATATCGTAATCCATAGGACAACCATGAAACATAATACAAATAACTTTAACTCTTTAGCTAACAGGAATATTAAAGTAGAAATCTAAAAATATATTTATATAATTACAAAAGGCAGGAAAGGAAGAACCAAGGAGGGAAAATAGAGATAAAATATAACAGTAGGTGCAAACTCAACTAATCATTGCATTAGATGATAATGGACTAAACTCTCAAATGGCAGAGATTGTCAGAATGGATTAAAAACAAAGTCCACACTAAAAAACAAAAAGACGTACTTTAAATATAAAAAAGTGGCTGGACAGGGTGGTTCAGACTTGTAATCCCAGCACTTTGGGAGGCTGAGGTGGGAGGATTGCTTGAGCCCAGAAGTTCGAGACCAGACTGGAAAATTTGGTGAAACCCAGTCTCTACTAAAAAGACAAAAATTAGCCAAATGTGATGGCTTGCACGTGTAGTCTCAGTTACTCAGGATGCTGAGGCAGGAGGATTGCTTGAGCCCTGGAGGTCGAGGCTGTAGTGAGCTGTGATCACACCACTGCACTCCAGCCTGGGGACAGAGCGAGACCCTGTCTCCAGAAAAAAAAACAACCAACCAACCAAAAAAAAAAAACCCAAACAATTGTGCTGGAGATCCTAGCCTTTGTCATAAGATAAGAAATATAAGGCATATGGATTGGAAAAGAAGTTAAGTTGTCCTTAATTGCAGATGGCATGGCAAACCCTAAGGAATCCACAAATAAGCTTCTAGAACTAATAAATAATTTAGCAAACTGCTAGAATATAAAGTCAGTATACAGAAATCAATAATCCAGTTTGAAAATGGAAAAAATTTTTAAAAAGCTTTACTTACAGTAACATCAAAATTTTTTAAGAAATTTAACAGATAACTTGATAGGTTTGTACACTGAAAATATTAAATCATTAGAAAGGGAATTAAAGGCTATGTAAATAAATAATGAGATACACCATGTGCATATATTAGAAAACTCAGTGTTGTAAAGGTGGCAGTCTTCCCCAAATCTATAGGTTCAGTACAATCCCAATCAAAACTATAACAAGGTTTTTTTTTTTTTTCAAGAAATTTAGAAGTTTATTTTAAAATTGATACAAAAAGCCAAAGATTCATAATGGCCAAAACATTTTTGAAGAACAGAGTTAGAGGATTTTTATACCTGACTTCACAAAGACTTAATCCAGAGCTACAGTAGTTGATAAAGTATGGTACTGGCCTAACAGTAGATCAGTGCAACAGAAATAGACACACTTACATGGTCAATTGATTTTTGAAAACGGCACTAAGGTAGTTCATTAGAGAAAATAGTTTTTTTAGCAAATGGTGTGGGTACACTTGGATATAAGTATGAAAAGAAAAAAAAAAGCCTCAATCCCCCTTCTTCATACCATACACAAGAATATAAATAAACATTGTTTATAAGACCTAAAGAAGTTCCAAAACTATGAAACGTCTAGAAAAAACTAGGAGAAAATCTTTGTGACATTTGGGTTAGGCATATGCTTCTTTGAAAAGACACAAAAAGCATGAAGCATAAAAGAAAATATTGATAAAATGGGCTTCCTCATGGTTAACAACGTTTGCTAAAGAGGCAGAAATACGAAAAGTCAAGTCAGACCAGGAGAAAATTTTGCAAACCATATGGAGAAAGGCCGTGTTCACACAAAGTATAAACAACTCTTATAGCTCAATAAGAAAACAACTCACTTAAAAAATGGGAAGAGATTTTATCGGGTATCTGCACTGCAAAAGAAGATATGAGAATGGCTAATTAGCACACGAGAAGATGTTTGACATCACTGTCATCAGAGAAGTGCATGTTAAAAGCAATTGCAATACGTCTGTGCAACCACTAGAATGGCTAGTTAAAAAGCACTGACAGTATTAAGAATTGGCAAGTTTGTGGAGTCTTTTAGTCTGCTCCAACTTCCGTAGCAAAATAGTGTAGACTTGGCTGCTAAAGAACGGAAATTTATTTCTCAGAGTTCTGGAGGCTGGAAGTCCAAGATCAAGGTGGTGGCCAATTCTTTTTCTGGTGGGGGGCACCCTTTCTGGCTAGCAGATGGTTGCTTTCTGCCTGTGTCTTCACATGGCCTTTCCTTTGATCACGTGGAAGGAGATAGTAAACTCTCTAGTGTCTCTTCTTAAAATGTCATGAATCCCATCATACCAGGGACCCACCCTCATGACCTAATCTAAAACTGATTTTATCTCCCAAAAGCCCCATCTCCAAATGCTATCACATTAGGGGTTAGGGCATCAACGTGCATTTTGAGGGAAAACACAAACATTTAGTCCGTGACATGGAACAACTAGAATTCACATACATTGTGTGTGGAAATGAAAACAGTACAGCTACTTTAGAAAACAATGTGGAAGTACCACATTGTTAAAAACATATTTAGTATATGAATTAGAAAGTCCATTTCTAGTTATTTACCCAAGAGAAGTGAAAATAATATGTGTCCAGAAAAGGACACACACATGAATGTTCATAGTGACATTATTCAAATAGCCTAAACCTGGAACCCAAACGTTAGTTGACCGAATAAGTAAACTGAACAAGAGATTGTACTGTATCCAGTAATACAATGAAGCAATAAAACACTACAAAATACCACCAGACCCAACACAGATGAATCTCAAAAGCATTCTAAGTAAAACACATCAAACACAGAAGATTATATACTATGTGAATCCATTTATATGAAATTTTAGAAAAGGCAAAAACTACAGTGAGAGAAAGCAGGTCAGTGGTTAAGGGTGAGGGAAGGGGATAAGGGCAAAGGGTATGAGGACATTTTTAAGGGTGAGAAAACTCTATCTTTTTATGGTGCTGGTTGCAAGATTGTATGCAATTACCAAATTCATCAAACTATACTTAAAAAGATTGAATGTAATTTATATATAAATAATACCTTAATGAAAAGAGAAGAAAAATGGATTAATGAAGTTTATAAAACCTAGAGAAAATAAAAGGTATTACATATCATAAAATTAGCATATAAAATCAGTTCATGTTTTGTTGCACAGTGTTATGGCACAACTATTTTCACTTAAGACTCTCTGACACATGTAAATAATTTCTCATTCTTGTGTCTCAAATGGGAGAAGAAGAGGAATAATAAATGTTCATGTATGCTTGTGTGTGTGTATATAGTCACATAGTCATACATACATAATTTCTGACTATGTTAATGACATACATTTTATAGCTTACTCTTAATAATGTTTTAAATTTATTGGCTCATAGAGAACATTGTAACATTTTTCCAAATGCCTTTAACTATGTATGATTACCTCTAAATTACCTTTATTTTCATCAATGGAATCATTACACAGGGAGCTGACTAACTGGCTTTTCATGTCTTATTCTTACCCTTCTCAGTTATGCTCTTGTGAAGGTTTTTATAAATGCTTTGGCTTTATTGTAGTGAATAGATTTCTATCTATACTGTGAAATGTTTACCAAGCCTAATAGAAAATTGTATTGATTTTTGAATGAGGATTTAAGCTATCACTAATTTGTATAAGAAAAATAAATGAGCAAAAAATATAAATAACTTTATGTTGTTATGCTGCTACATGAACACAGCACAGCATATCTTACATACAACAGAGTATAATATCTTTATCTAAAATCTCAAGTTTTACGACTAAACATAATGACTCTTGAGAAAGAAATTCTGGAGAACTCTCTTGATAATTCTTAAGATTGATACTTGTTAGTGTGTCCTGTGAATGCACACAGGTAAATGTTTCTTTGGTTCCCTTGAGATTTGACTCCTTTGCTTGATGTATTAGAATTTGTAAATGCAATTTGGAAACCCTCTGAAGGCTAAGTATCTGAGTGAAAACTCATCAAATACCTTGGTTAATTTGAAGATGTAACATTTGCAAGATGATCTCTAGAATGATGTAACAAGCCTTTTTCTTTTTCAGTTGGAATCCACAGGACTCGGCCTTAGTAGTAGTAGACTAAGAACAACTCTAAACAGAATACAAGAAAGCCTTATTGATCTAGTAAGTAATGAATTGGAATATATTCTTTTGGATTATATAAAATGCAAATTAGCTATTCAATCAATTTTGTATAAATGTGTCTATATGTATATTGAGTAGCGGAGTCCTTAGAATTAAATGAGTGCATATAGGAAGTAAAACAGATTGCTTATAGTCTGATCAGAGAGAAACTAGTATACATAAAAGAATATGATATTGGTCATATGTCTAGCACAAGTTCGAAGAAGAGAAAGATTTATGTGAAAAACTAATATCAGAGGAGGACTAAAGGAAGAAGTGACACTTGTGCTAGACTTCGAAGACCAGGCATAGGATTAATGGGAAAGGGAAAAGTCTTTAAATTAAGGTACACAGGGTGAGCAAGGGCCTTGAGGTGGGTGCAGTACGAAGTTTGACAGATCTTAGGATTGGGACACTGGTATATGCTGCAAAGTTAGGTTGCATTGAGTGTTTGGGACACTTTATAAATGGCTTTGAAATTCAAGGAGAAAGTTTGGGTTTAGTTGCTGTGTAGTAGGGAGCCCGGTTTTTGACTATCATCATAGGATGAAATGCATGTTTTAAGAAGACAGGTTAGATAGCAGCACAGGGTTGACCTCCTGTAGTGTTTCAGCTAACATAAGCATTTAAAATGAGAAAAACTTTCTCATGGTTGGTCACTGTAGCCCGAAGTTTATGTTGTTTAGACGTTTCTCCACATCTATTTTAACCACAGGCTTCTCTGAATTTTCCTTTATTCCTTCAACCTCACACGAACAAGCAATGATTTTCCTCATTTTTCATAAGCTCTACATTATGTGCATACTTCTGTTATTGAAGCTTTTTATAAAGCCATGATTATTCTTTTAAGGAATACTTATTGTAACAATTGGTATATGCCAGGCATTGTTATAGAGCTAGGAATTCATCAGTGCACAGAAGAGATATTTCCTGTCTTGGAACTTGTATTTTATTGGAGCAGAGAGACAACAAATGTATAACATAGTGTCAGATACTCATTGAATACTAAGACAAAACTGAAGCAGTGATAGGATGGGGATCTTGAGCAGAGCTGCGAATAAAGTGAGTGAGGCATGTGCTGATATCTCAGGTGAGCGCTGTTTGGGCAGAAGAAATAACTGGTATCCTTCTCTCTTAACATTTGGAGATCCTTTTACCCAACATATTTTTAAAAATATAGTCATATCACTTACCTTGGCACATAGCATTGCTTCAGTAAATGTTCATAGAGTAGATGAATATACTCCAGTCCCTTAGTTTCTTGTTTCTTGGCATAACTTGGCTTGTTTCCTTGGTTATGATATTTGTTTAATCCTTGATCTTCAATTTCAGAGTCAAGGCTCCTTATTTGACCCAGCCTTTTTGTTTCTCTTTTTTCTTTTCTTTTTTGTTTTTAGTCTTTGTTTTGTAAAATCCACTGGTCTCAGCCCCACTTGCAGTTTTCTGTGTTTCAATTTTGATTCTTCTTATTCGATACTTAAGTATAACCTTGAGCATCAAATCTTATTCTCCAGATCTTATTCCACAGCTAAAGTTTTTCTTGTTTCTGACTGAAAGGCCCAAGATTAATGGGCCAAATTTTACCACTAGAGCCATTCACCCTGGCATTTCTGTGTCATTCCTGCTAGCTACTGTCTTGTGATCATCAGACTCCAGTTCTAGATTTGACCCTTAAGATGTGGATTTCTGCTTCAGAAATTGCCACATAGTGTATAATGATTATTCATACTGATAAACATTGGTTTGTTATTTTAGAAAATATATTTGTCATTTATTAGAACTTGCTTGATCTCAGGATTTTTTTTTTTTTTTTGAGACGGGTCGTCGACGCTGGTGCCAGCTGGAGTGCAGTGGCCGGACTTCAGCTCACTGCAAGCTCCGCCTCCCGGGCTTACACTATTCTCCTGCCTCAGCCTCCCGAGTAGCTGGACTACAGGCGCCGCCACCTCAGCCGGCTAGTTTTTTGTATTTTTTAGTAGAGACGGGGTTTCACCGTGTTAGCCAGGATGGTCTCGATCTCCTGACCTCGTGATCCACTCGTCTCGGCCTCCCAAATCTCAGGATTTTTTAAGCTGGTATGTATTAATTTTCTTCACTTCATTAATTTGCATTTACATTGGCAGAATACATTAATTGATTTCTTGCTACTCAATACATTCTTTGGCTACTGAAATAATTTATAGCTTAATCAATCTGAAACCAACTAGATGGAAGTAATATTTTTCCTTGTATTTCTCTTGCATGTCACTTAAAATCTTAATGAATACTTTTTTGGTAATTTTATTTTCTCCATATAGATATTCTAAGTTTTACTTCTCTTTAAGCTGTAAAAGGCAAAATAGAATCATTGTGGTCTTAAAAATGCTGCCTGAAATAATTTATCATATAAATTCAGTGTAAACTAAGAAAATTTGTTTGTCACATCAAATAAAAGTTTAAGAAAAGTTGTCTAATAGGAAAAGTAAGAAAGGAAGCTGGTATAGGTGATAGTGACAGCAGGAAGGTGAATTTTTAGTAACCCATTTGGTTATGCTAACTAAATTGTTTGCTTTAAGACCTTTAGCCAACTTATTTATTCATTTATTATTTATTTACTTATGAGACAGAGCCTTACTCTGTCACCCAGGCTGGAGTGCAGTGGCAAGATCTCGGCTCACTGCAACCTCCACCTCCCAGGTTCAAGCGATTCTCCGGCCTCAGCCTTCCAAGTAGCTGTAATTACAGGCTGTCACCACCACGCCTGGCTAGTTTTTGTATTTTTAGTAGAGATGGGTTCGCCATGTTGGCCGGGCTGGTCTTGAACTTCTGACCTCAGGTGATCCTCCTGCCTCGGCCTCCCAAAGTGCTGGGATTACAGGCGTGAGCCACTGCACCCGGGCCTTTAGCCAACTTTAAATTTTTGATAATAATATTTTAAATTTGTCCAGAAAAATTCATAAATATGAATTCTCTTTGTAGTAGCACATTGGTGGTAGGAAAGGTTAAAAAATGTGACTCTCACAGTGAGAATAAAGGTGGTTAAGGTTTCATTTTTCAGTCTTTAAAGGGTTATAGCCTTTACTTATTGCACTCCTGTAAACTGAAAAAGCCAGTTTAGGAGCTTTTTATTTAAGTGTGCAGTAAGCACATACCATTTATTTATGTCAGCTTGACATTTTCGTAACTCTCTTGCTCTCTTCAAGCGTATTTTCCTAAATATAAACACAGAACTTTAGTCTTTAAGCAAATAATTATCATAAATTTTATGCCTCAAATGCCAGGCATACAACTGGGAACAAAGGAAGGTATTTTAATGAAAGCCTTTTGAAGTGGGGGCAACAATTCCAGTGATCTTCTAAAGAATGCTTTTGTGAAAGAGCTCCCTGAGTAGAAGGGAACTCAATGCATTTGTGTTGGAGGCATTAAGGAGGTAGTTAGGTAAATGCTTTTGGCTCCTCTTGTCATATGAAAGATAACTGTATTCTCTCAGACTATAGATATACCCTTTCCTTGCCTTCCATTATTTTCTAGAGCCACCTCCCTGTTCTATCCCTAATTAACTAGTTAGTACCTAAATTCAAAGAAACTTTTAGTTTTATAGATATATTGTGTATATGATATCTAATCCGAAAGAATGAAATTTAAAATTAACTGCTATTATAAGTGTTTGGTATTCATGGAGATCCTTGAGCGATTTTGAGTTTGAGATTATACAATATTGTCAGAAAATTCATATTAGATTTAGCTTAATTATACACTATTTTAAAAGCAGAAGTGTTTGATGCTTAGAAGGAGTTTTGTTATACTGTTGGAGTATAATCTTCCAAGATTTTACTCATAGAAGGAAACTCATCTGTGCTCATTTAACCTGTACAGCATTCATACATACCTAGTAACCGTAAGCTTCTGCTTGAACATCTCAAGTGATGTTTTTTTGAGAACTAATAACCACCCAAAGCAGCCCTGCTTGCCTTACATCTGCCTGGTAGAATGTGCTTTGTTATAATGTAACCAAATGTGCTTATCTCTTGAACTATTTTCTCTTATTTCTATCTCTACTTCTTTTGGATCACTTTGAGTAGCCTAGCCATTTTGCCCAAGTGAGTCCTTTTTTCTCCCAGTTCCTTTATTCGTTTTTCATGTTTCAGAGTTTTACATCTCCTCATCATTCTTTGACTTGTTCTGAAATAGTTATTTACAACTCTGAACTAAGAAGAAAATTGAGAACAGTATAAGAGGTATTGGAAGCAGACAGAAAACGAGCTATGTGATGAGGGTGCAGGATGAGATACAAGATAGTTGGATAGCTATCTTTATTACTAATTCATTCAACAATACATATTGCATGCCTAGGTACTTTGTGGTAGACTGATGGCCCCCAGAGTGGAGGAGGTAGTTAAGGAATAAATGAAGATCTAATTTAACGTTAGATTGTGTTGAGAGCAATGAAGAACTTAGGTGAAAAGTACAGAGAGAGAAAGGGTGTAATGTTATTTGGGCAGTTAGAGAAGATCCCTCTAGGAAGGACCACTGAAGCAGATCCCTAAAGGAAATAGGAGCGTGAGCCACCCTTATTCAACAAATGTTTATTTAGTGTCTGTTTGTTGAACACTCTATATGGTGCCAAGCACTGTTCCAGGAATTAAGGATACAATTGTAGGGGAAGGTGGGGAAGCCAGACAAAACTCCCTACCCATGTAGAGTTTATTTTCTAGTAGGGGGAAGATAATTTGGGAAACAGTGTTTTAGGCTAGAGTTAGTTGTAAACAGGTAATATCATGGTAACATGTTTAGACTTTTTCCTGGAAGGAATGGATTAAGGCTTTAAAACCAGGGAGTGTTATGATCACATCTCTATTTGAGAAAGTTCACATCAGTATTGTTGAAAAATCAGTCAGTTAACTGTATGGAAACTGGCATAGAAATAGGAGAAGCTAGAGACAGAGCTCTCTATTCATGGGCTTTTAGAATAGTCCAGTCAAGACTGCTAAGGAACCTGTGACCTGTTTAAATAGTAATATCAGGGAGGAACAAATGAGAGGTGTCTGTTTAGGCATGTTTTAGTGATTAGTGATTGATTGGATGTGGAAGGTGAAGAAGAAGGGGAGTTGTGAATGACTTTAAGGTTCCTTACTTGTTTCTTATCAATAACTACCAGAATTAAATAGAATAGACAACCAATTGGTGCCAAACAGTATTTAATTTTGTAAAAATTTTTTCTCCTTTTTTTTTTTTTTTTTCTGCTGGAGTAGGGTTATTTCCTTTTTAGAGGGAAATGAATGATGGAGATATGACATTAATTAACTTGCATGGATCCATGATCCTGTTTCTCCCTAGAGGAAGCACAGTTATTCCCAAACTAACTTTTAAATGCTAATTGAGTAATTAGAGATTGAAAAGAGACACTGTCTTTAGGAGAAGATAGGAAATGAAAAAAAAGATAAAGAATTAAACCATTTTCTAACTTGAAAGGTTTTATAAATTTTATTTGCATTTTGTGAAATTTATAGGAGTAAATTATATGTATGCATTTGATGTCTCATTTATTCATATGGAAAATAATTGGAGATTCGTTACTATAAAGTTGCTTTAAAAAGTAATCTGGCTTTATATATTGTACACTATTAGATGTGTTTACATCCAATTTTGTGCTAAATTTTCTTTGAGGTTCTTTTAAAGCTATTTTGCATTTAAACATTTAGTTTTGCTATCTGCCTACTCATATGTTCTCACCTTTAAACTCCATAACAGAGATAACCATGGAGTGTTTTCCACACTGAAAGTAGTACATAAACTGCAGGGGTTGTATTATATAATGTTTAGCATCTCTTCTAACTCTGTCATTCTATGGTTCAATCAACATTTTAAAACTTTGAGTGGGGGCAGGGGTTAACTTGTATTCAGGTTAACTTTAAAAAACATAGCTGCACTTTTGTACTATGAGCTATTGCTTAACTTACATAGCTTTTATTCTATTTTTTTTTCTTTTTGTAAATTTCTCTCATGAAATTTTTTTTCAAAATGTAATATGTAAATGTTACTCTGAATACATATTTATATGCCATGTTACTTAGTGACATTATTCAGACATTTGTATGCGTATTTGTGAAGTTGTTTGCATCAGTCATTTAAAGAATATTTCAGCCTAAGTTTTCTAAGAGGTATGTTGAATACATTTTTAAAAGCCAGCTTAAGGGTCACAGCAGCCTTAGTTTAGAAGAGCTAATCACAGGTGACCACTCAAGTTCTTTCAATGAAGACCTGATGATGTATTTAGTTCTCATTTTCCATGGTGATTGACTCACTTTAAGTGCATTGTGGCTATATGTAATTTACAGGCTGCTTTACGTTGCAGGTGGGGAAATCTAGGCTGGTGTGAGGCCAATCTGGGATAAAAGACCCCCTGACCCCTCCTCATTCTTCTAAGGTCACCACCTCTTAGAGGGTCTCTTATTTTCTTTCAGAGATCAAATGCACAGTTATGCTCTACAACTAAATTCTGCAGTCTTGGGAATCCTTACGATTATCAACTATTAGTCACTTTTTAAAGCCCCCAAAGTGGAGTGAGGATAGGGGGAGTGGAAGCAGTGTTTGGTTCTTACTTTACCCAAACTGTGTATAAAGAATAAAGTTAGCAGAATGATGCCACAAAAAAAAAAAAAAAAAAAAAAAAAAAAAAGTAATAAATGGAGTTTGTTGCCATGTCAGTACTGCAAAACTCTATACTTAAACTAAAAGTATAATGAACATTTGTAATTCAAGCTCATTGTTATTAGAAATATATTTGGTTATAAAAGTTCTTAATGACCTTCACAGTGAAGTGACTCTGGATTATACTCTCATCAGTAACATTAAGATTCCTACAGTCTCACTGCCTTGACCTCTCTCCTTTGTGCCCCAGAAAACAATAATTAAAAGTCTCTTTCTCTGACGTGTAATGCGGCAACTATTCAAATAACTATTATGATGATGTCAGTATTCTAAACAGCCTTCTTTCATGTTCTCTGTACAAAGGGAAACTTATTCACTGAAATAAGTTTATATTAAGTTAAATATTGAAATATTTGGAGTGATTGGTAACTCTTGAGCTGGCAGTCTTCTGGTACTCTGTCAGCTCCTCCAGGTAGCCAGCCTTGTGCATCTTTACCCATGATCTCAAGATATTCCCATCCTCCTGGCAAAAAAAGATGGCCGGTATGCCTGTGAGTTGAAATGTGTTTTTGTTTTTTTAACTGTTTGCTAAGAGCTTAGTAAAAAATGAGTCCCTTGCTATGTATTGAGGAGAAGTTGAGTAAGTGTATCTTTGAAACTCTTCCTTTGCCAACCTGTTTGTTTACAATATAGGGTATGTTTATATGAAGTCAAAGAATGTACATAACTCATATCCAAGGCACTCCTTGCCTGGCATCAGAATACTTAGAAAGGTAAATTAGTAATGAGAAGATTTCTAGTGAGTATATCATCAGATGAAAGTAAAACTGAGAAATTTGAAGTCTGATGAGTTTTCCTGACCACAAATTAGACTGCATCACTCCTATTGACTACATGGCTGTATACCTGAATCAGTGGTTCTCTCCTGGACAGTGCTGAAGGGCCTGGCACATCCTGCTTCCTGGGTATCCCTTTCCTTTGTTCACATTGACCATCTTCCTTCGTATCAGTAGTCTGTCCCCAGATATATACAATACATTTGGCTCTGTTCCAGTTTATAACTTCATTCTAGTCCTGCCTCCTTGAGATTATATACCAAGGTAAACTTCATTAAAATTTGGGTGCAAGATGGTTAATCAAACCATAATTTTGGATTTTATCAGTGTGGTTCTCAAGGAGTAATCATATTTCTCTCATTTACAAGTTCTTGAGGGCCATCTCACTATTGTTGCTATGAAACATCTGTCAATTCATAAAGAGTCCTTGTGTTGACAGACTTTAGGTCATGCACAGATGGTAGCATTTAGATTTGGATGATATTATATAGGCTCATTGTCAATTAGGATTAAAAAGAAGGTTCCAATAGTTACAAAACATGACAGCAGGATAAAAAGAACTGAATCTAAATGTAATTAACGTATGCCCCAAGAGTATTTTAATTTTAATTCTAGTTATGTCAAAATCACGTGATTTATTACTGTTAGATTGGTTATTCCAGGTTATATATGTATTGTATTTTCAGGAAGTTTCTGCTGATCCTACTGCCACACTCACAGCAGCAGAAGAAAGAAAGGAGAAGGTGCCAAGTCCACACCTCAGTCACCTGGTGGTTTTGACATCTGGGGATACATTGTATGGGTTGGCAGAAAGAGTTGTAGCCACGGAATCCTTGTAAGTTGTTCAAAACAGTTGCATTGCCATTACATATTTAAGAAAGTTTATAAAAGTAAGCATTGTTTAATTAGACTTCTAGTTAGCTGCATACATCTACCACTTCTAAATGTCACTTATATGTTTCTGACAAGTATATTCTAACACAGATTACCAATTGATTTTTTAAACTGCATGGTTGGTTTTTCAGTTATAGAAATGGAAAGAAGGAAATCTTTTAATTTTCAGTCTTTAACAACATGATCCACGCTTTAAGTATAACTTTAGGAAGTGTTATACTATGCTTCATATTTTCCTATTGATGACTCATGATCCTAGGAGAAGCTGTAATTGCATTGTCAATTTAGTGCTAAGTATAATTGACCCTTGACATCAATAAGAATGCTTCCTGACCTTTATAAATCCCCAGAGTTATTAATACAATTAACGCATATAACTTCTGCATTTCTATAAAATGTAGTCCAATATAACGTAAGAGTTTTTGCATTAATAACAAAAAGCAGAAAAAGACAGTGCCTGGATGCAGTGCATCTGCAGGCAGTAGTCCAGGCTCCTTCACCAGCCCACTGACTCCCATTCCTGTATCCAGCCTCTGGCACCTGTCGTTCATTTGTGATACTCAGCCAAGTTACAGTTTGCTGCCTATTAGAAATGTTGGGGTTACTTCTGAAAAGTGTCAGATATTAAAAGTGTCAGATATTAAATCTGAGATTTCAAGAGTCCGTTGTATATAACTGAATGAGATCTTTAAAAGAAATCCTTTAAAAAATACCCTTGTGTTCTTTTTTCAACCTGCTACTCTGGGCTCACATCTTACATTTGAAGCACATGACCCTACACCTCATCGTAAGCTGCTTGGCTCCTTTGAAGTTGCTTTTCTTTCTCTTAAACTTCCTTTCAGTCATAAACTCAGCATTATTTATTGTGTAGATTATAAATGAACATGTCAAGTGGTATTACAGGGTCATCCACTAAAGTGGAAAGTAATTTTTATTGTTAAAGTTTTGCTCAGAAATGTTAAAAAAATACTTATATGAAAACATGACAGGCTCTAAATCCTACACAATTTGTTTACACAGTGGGTTATTTATTCCCTTTAGGGTATTCTTGGCTGAACAGTTTGAGTTCCTTCAGCCGCATCTGGATGCTGTGATGCCTGCAGTCAAAAAGCCCTTTCTTCAGCAGTTCTATTCTCAGGTCAGATATCGTCTTGTATGTCATTTCAACTGTGAGCAAGATAGGACACAGATTATTTAGATTTGTTTGTTTGTTTGTTTGTTTAACTAGAAGTCAGTCTTGAAAACCCAGGAGAGCCAGATAGAGTGTTCATTTATTCACTCATGAATTCCTGTGTTAAATACATACTATTGAGCACCTCATGTAACTTTTAGACTAGTGAGAGAGAAAGCACCAGTTAAAACTATTAAAATAAAGCATGATAAGTACTGTGGTAACGGGAAAGTGCCATGAGGGTATTTAACCCAGAGTGGAGGACAGGAGAGGCTCTGGGTGGGAGAAGGTTATCTAGAAAGGCTATCTAGAGGAAGTAATGTTTAAACTGGACCAGCAAGGTAGAGAGGGTGAATGAGGGATGGGTTCTAGACAAAGGGAATGGCATATGTGAAGACCCGTGAGAAAGAGCATGGTGCATGCGAACAGCTGAGGAAAGCTCGTTGGAGTAGGGAGGAGGTCTGGGAATGAGAAAGATGGCTGGGGCAATCAGCAGGAGCCACTGGCATATAAAGCACCCTGCTTCAGGAGTTGGACTTCATTTGAAGGGCATGGAAGCTCCTGGAGGGTTTGAAGCAGGTGAGTGGCATGGCTGGATTTGTGTTTTAGAAAGAGTTTTCTGGGGGCATTGTGAAGAAAGAACTGTAGACGGCAGTCCTAGAGACAGGAAAACTAATTTGAAGGCTGCTACAGTATTGCAGGGGAGAGATGGTGGAATCCTGACATCATGTAGTGGGAGTGGAAATGGAGAGAAGTAGAAGAATTTGAGAAGTAATTGCTAGGCTCCATGAAGAGCTCTAGTTCTTTTACAGTTGCAGTGTCAATGGCTTCAAGTTTATTGAATGTCTCAAAATTATGTTTTGAGTAAGGCCTTTGCCTTCACTCAAATATTTAAAATATTTTTGTAATTTAAATCTCCAAATATATAGTGTTTTATTTTCAGATATGATATATACTGGAAACAGGGGCAAGTATTTTTATCAATATGATACTTTTAGAAAATAATTGTTTCCATTTCTGTGAAATTTATTTCAGACAGTCTCAACTGCCAGTGAACTACGCAAACCAATTTACTGGATTGTGGCTGGTAAAGCCCTTGATTATGAACAGATGCTGCTCCTCATGGCTAATGTGAAATGGGATGTAAAAGAAATTATGTCACAGCACAACATATATGTAGATGCACTATTAAAGGCAAGTGTTCTGGGAAACACCTTTGCTAAAGATCAATCTACTAAGAGAAGTGTTCCTTTATTGCAGTTGCTCTAAAATAGTAAGATTATAGTTATTACCACATTTCTAGCATTGTGGTATTAAAGACCCTGAATTGAAATAGGCTTATTTTCTGAATTTGTCTTCTATTAGATCTAAGAATACATCATAGACTTTTTTAGCTTTGTTCACTAGTTTCCCATTTTGAATTGTTGTATGTCGTGGCTGACTTTCATATTATGTAATCTCAGTAGCCATCACTATAATGACAAGAAGATATTTCAGTTTAATTAGAAATTATTTCTGTAGTTTAGCATAATATTCATTAGCAAGAGACCATGCCTCTGATTATTCCGAGTAGAAAATCACACTACTTTTGCAGTGTGTCATACAAACACCTCTTTGGAGTCAGTGACCTGTGTGTATACATTTCCTGGAAAGAATTGTGGTTTTTTTTTCACTTATGCATGAATAGATACCTGTAGATCACCTGGCATGTACCACACACTGATAGAAGTGCTGGCAGTATAGCTGTGAATTCGGGAACTTATGTGCCCTCAAGGAATTTACATGCCAGGGCAGAGATAGCAGTAAAGAGATAAATTGAGATATAATGTCAGATGATGAATAATGCTGTGAAAAAAACCAAAATCATCTGAAGAGAGACAAAGAATGACAGGATGTGGGTGGAAGAGGAAGACCATGTATTTGTCATGCTCGGAGAAGGACCCTGATAAGGTGAGACTGGAGATGAGGCCTGCGGGAAGTAAGGAAATAAGGTATGGAAAGAGCATCTGAGAAAATGAAAGTAACTTTCAGAAAAAATTTTTTCATTTTTGTAACTCAAAAGAAAAATGTCCCTTCTTAACCTCCTCACTTTAATCTCATTTACACAATCATTCTTACCTGCTTAGACCAAGTCAACAAATAAGAGCCTAGGACATCTGAGAACCAATGAACAGAACCATAGATTTAAAATGGAGATGGTAATGGAGTTTCTTCAGTCACCAACTCCCAGCAATTTATGGTCCCCTTCGGAGGCCTAGGTTGAAGACCGTAAGGCTGTCTCCAGACTCCGGCACTAATCATGCCAACATCAGTAAGCAATTGCTAGGAGTTTCCATAGAGATCTTAGCGGGGAGTGACACCAAGGGTGCTCTATATTTTCCACTCTGGAATTCAGAGATTATTGACCTTGAAAGATAATCAAAGCAATAACTTGGTTTCTAGAGCACCCAGGAGATTTCAATTGCAAATTTTCATTTGGAATGTAAAAGACAAATGTGATTTATAAATAATGATACCCCCTTTTTTTTTTTTAACAATTCTGTTTTTGAAAAAGTGGTTCTATTTTTTATGACATGCTGTCTTAGTCCTTTAGGATACTACAACAAAGTTCCACAGACTAGGTGGCTTATAAGCAGAGCAGTTATTTCTCACAGTTCTGGAGGCTGGGAAGTTCAAGATCAAGATCACGGCTCAGGCAGATTTGGTATATTGTGAAGGTCTGATTTCTCATAGATGTCACCTTGCTGTACCCTCACATGGTAAAAAAGGCAAGGCAACTCTCTGGGGCTCTTTTATAAGGGTGTTAATTCCCTTGGTGAGAGCTTGACCCTCATGACCTAATCACTTTTAAAAAGCCCCAACTCCCAATACTGTCACCCTGGGATTAGGATTTCAACATATGAATTTAGGGAGGACACAACATTCAGACCATAGAACATACTAACCATGGACCTTATAGGGGTGCAAGAGAAAAAGACTTCTGTGCTCAACAAATACACATACTATGAGGAGGCTGCTTTTTTCAGTTATTTGTTATTCCAGTTATAAGAAAGAACTCGTGTTATTCAGATTATTAACCTAGCCCAATTTTTAGCAGCTTAAGGCCTTCTTTAAGCATAAAGATTAATTATCTGTGATAACGTTTGTTCTTTCTGTTACTTTTCTAAGTCTCAGCATCTTAAGTCTAGACAGTTTGCTTATGTTGCCCCAAAAGAATCATAAGAAAAATGAAATGTTTGTATGATTCATTTTATGACAAGCATTTTTGAACATTGAATTTAGCAATAAGTAGAATGTTATTTTGTACAGAAAGCATTTTATACATATAGCTTTATCTTTTAAATATTGATGAAAAATATTGAATTATGACTCGAAATCCAAAGCAGTTTAAGGAATGCATAAATAAATACAGTAACAAATACTACTACTCTCCTAGATCCATGAAATGAAACAACAAAGAGCAATTATTTATACAGTTTTGATTTTTCGAAGATAAATTTCATGAATTGACAATCCACTTCTTTTTAATGATTAAAAGCAATTAATTGTTAAAAATAAATTAGCAAGAAAAATTGTGATTTAGGAAGAAGAAGCAAAAGAGCAGAGGATAACACAGTTATCATTATGTGATTGCCTGAGTGGTGATCAGATTAGATTTTTTTTCTCCTATGTATTGTTAGAAAAGTTGAACACATGTCAGTCATGTTAAACATTGTGTAGCTTCTCTATTCAGGTAACTAAAGAAAAATGTCATTTTAAGATTTCTTTTTTTTTTTTTTTGAGACGGAGTCTCGCTCTGTCACCCAGGCTGCAGTGGCAGGATCTCCACTCATTGCAAGCTACGCCTCCCAGGTTCACGCCATTCTCCTGCCTCAGCCTCCCGAGTAGCTGGGACTACAGGCGCCCGCCACCACGCCTAGCTAATTTTTTGTATTTTTAGTAGAGACGGGGTTTCACCGTGTTAGCCAGGATGGTCTCGATCTCCTGACCTCATGATCTGCCCGCCTTGGCCTCCCAAAGTGCTGTGATTACAGGTGTGAGCCACCGCCCCCGGCCCAAGCCTTCTTATATTTGAAATATATTGCCAGGGAAGAGTCAACAGCATTTACTTCATTAAATATTAAATGAGTATATTTAAATAGTAATAGTCCAAAGAGACCAAAAACACATTCATTGAAGGCTAAACCTTCTGCTGTTTCCGTCTAATTATTGGACTTGTCTAAATCAGGTATATGTATTTATATTTTTAGTATGATCATGTCATAAAAGACAATAAAAATATTCAGTTTTTCTGTAGGTAATAGAAACTGTGTTTTATTGTTTCCATTGTACTAAAAATTTGTGGATAGAGTATGATTTTTTAACCATTTGGTATACAGTTGAGCATCCCAAATTCGAAAATCTAATATTTGAAATAATCCAGAATCTAAAACTTCTTGAGTGCCAGCATGACACTCAAAGGAATTGGTCACTGGAGCATTTCAGAATTCTGGTTTGGGATTTTCAGATTTGGGATTCCCAACCAGTAGGTATAATGCAAATATTCCAAAACTGGAAAAAGTCCAGAGTCCAGAAATGCTTCTGGCCCCAAGCATTTTAGATATGACATCCTCAACCCATATAATTATTTACTTTTAAAAAATGTTTAGGAAAAATGATAATGTATTAGATTGCACTCTGAGGAGTATAGCTACAAATCACAAATAGTTCTGAACTGAACACATATCAAACCATGTTTTTAAACCTGGGTTTCTTGAAGATATTTTTGAAGCCAAATTAGGTCATTCAGCTGTATTAATCTGTACTGACAACCATAGAAAATTTTGAGACATTTGGACATTGTTAACATGGTTTAATCAGTTAATGACACTTACTCCTTTTGCAATAAAATGTAGTATACTCTGTATTATAACATCATCTATTCAAACTAGTGCATATATATTTTTAAGACCTTCATACTAAGTCCAAATTATCTTTGACGTTATCTTTTTTTATTTTACTTGGTTTGATTATGAGTCTTTTTAAATCTTTTTTATTTAAACCATTTTTATGGGAGAGCATTGTGGCATTTTAATGATATTCACAAATGGCTACTATTTGTCTTCTTAGGAATTTGAGCAGTTTAACAGGAGGCTAAATGAAGTTTCTAAGAGAGTTCGAATACCCTTGCCTGTGTCTAATATACTTTGGGAACATTGTATACGATTGGCTAATCGAACTATCGTAGAAGGGTAAGTTTTTCATGAAAGCATTATTTGTTTCTTTAATGACAAATTGTAATATATGAATAACATATGGTATTAATGGTTGGAGAGAATAAGTAGAAATAATGATAACTAGCAGACAAGTTTGGGATATAATTAGAGAAAAAAACCTTAGACCCCACTGTGTCTGTCTTTGTCTCTGCTTTCTTTTCTTGCTAGTGGCATAGACCCAGCTAGTAGATGAGTGAGGAATGCAGAATCTAATGGTTATCTGAAAGTTAAAACTAACAGTTATTATTACCTAATAATAAAATTATGATGATGATGATTGTTATACCTAACATTTTTTGAGCATTAACTATGTGTTATTTGCTGAACCAAACATTTCACAGGATTATATCACCAAACCTGAAATAAACTCTCTTTGCAAGGTACTATGATTCTGTTTCACCAATGAGAGAACCTAGTCTCAGAAAACCGAGGCTTAAAGAGGTTAGGTAACAAGTTCACACAGTTTTTAAAGGCATATGTACCCCTGATTTCTTTTTTTCTTTTCTTTCTTTTTCTTTTTTTTTTTTTTTTGAGACAATCTCGCTTTGTTGCCCAGGCTGGAGTGCAGTGGTGCAATCTGGGCTCACTGCAGCCTCCGCCTCTCGGGCTCAAGCAATTCTTGTGCCTCAGCCTCCTGAGTGGCTAAGACTACTGGTGTGTGCCACCATGCCTGCTAATTTTTTGTATTTTTAGTAGAGACAGGGTTTCACCATGTTGGCCAAGCTGTTCTAGATCTCCTGGCCTCAAGTTGATCTGCCCACCTCAGCCTCCCAAAGTGCTGGGATTACACGTGAGCCACTGCACCTGGTTGTACTCCTGATTTCTGATGGCAAAATCAGCCCTCAAAACCCTTATATCATCATTAATAATAATCACCATCATATCATTCATTGTAAGCTGTATAAATCTTTCATGTGTTGAAGTTATAGATATATTAATAGTAATTTTCCCATTTACTCAGAGACCATGCTTACTCTGCCCATAACATCTAGGATACAAATAAGGATCAGTAATACATTTGAAATATCCCTGAGAAGCTAACAGCTATTTCAAAGACCCTGTACAGTGCTCTAGAATTGCACATCAGTTGAATTTTCACACTATCATTTGTCTGATTTTCCTTTTGTTCTCATTTGTTATACAAAAGAATGTATTAGAAAGTGGGAAGGTGACAGTGACAAGCTGACAACAGTCTTGGCACTCTGTTTTGAAACCAAGGGTGCTATAAATTATAAAACGGCTGTGTTAACAATCACGAAGAGTATTTTAAATAAATTTGTTTAATTAAGTAGAAATGTGAATAAATATTTCTGTATAAAATACTCTTTATTTTTTTTAAAAAAAAGCTTGGTCATTTTAAATAAAATAAGCTTTTATTTTCTTGTAACTTTCTTTAGGGTAAGTACCTCATTCCCACAGTTGAATTTTCCATGTTTTGTATGATTGATTGAAGAAATGAAACACTGACTTAATGAATAATAAAGTGTTGTATTGTTAGGGTTAGTATATTTGTCTTTATTACTAGTCCACCTTAAAACACACTGTTTCAGTAGTGTAGAATGTCAGAATAAGTCTATAAACTTTTTATCACGAAAAATATGTATATACTTTCTATGCTTACATGCTTACACATTTCTTTATGTTTTCAGAGTGTTCATGGGAGAATTATTTCGTTTGTTTCTTTTGCATTGAATACTTACAATATTGAACAGTTTCATAAAACTGAGATTACTTTGAAGTATTTAAAGCTTAGTTTTATAATAACTCTTGGCAGCCAGATTAACTGGAATACCAGTTTAACTTTCTTACAGACGATTATGTTAATTGAATACAGAGAACTATGGTCTGTAGCACAACAAAGTGCCTTGAACTCATTGGATCTCTTTGCAAATGAGAAAATTGAGGCCCCCATAGGTAAAATGACAGGGCACAAACACAACCCAGTCTTTCTGACTCAAGACTTATGTTCTCTATTTCCTATAACCTTCTCATTTCTGGGGAATCTGTCCAAATATAGGTTAGAGAAAACTTCAAATACCCGACAGTTTTTGCTTCTAATTATCCTATAATGTATTTTTTTATTGTTTTGCATCTTAGATATGCCAATGTCAAGAAGTGCAGTAATGAGGGTCGCGCCCTGATGCAATTGGATTTTCAACAGTTTTTAATGAAACTTGAAAAACTAACAGATATTAGACCCATTCCTGATAAAGAATTTGTGGAAACTTATATTAAAGCCTATTACCTAACTGAGAATGACATGGAACGCTGGATCAAAGAGCACAGGGTGAGAGCTGGAAAACAGTTAATTAAGTTTTTATTCCTTTTTCTTCGTGCTGTTCTTGTCGCGTGTGTTATTTAATCCAAAATCATGAGAGTGAAATATAAAGAAACATTTACTTTTTTAATACAAACTACTTAGGTCAGTTCTTTACCATTTTCAGACTAAGGGCACTGTATCTAAGCAGTACCCTTTGACTCATCAAATCTTTTTCAGCCCTTTGTGAACTGTTACTGTAATTATCTAGAAATACAGCCAAAGTCAAGACATTAGCTAAATTTTTCCTGCAACTGTATTATAGGAAAAGGCTGAAGTTGATAAATGCTGAGACAGATTGAATACAGAAACAATGAAATGATTCATAAGCCATAATCGATTATGTAACTTAAACCTCACACAAACCTTCTCGTACTCCTCAACAATGAAATGGTAACATCGTACACACTGACATGTATTAGTGATGATTGAAGACATTAATATTTAAATGGCTAAACTTAACTTGCATCTTACATTAGATTTTACCTTTAATACAGATTTGATTATTTTTCTTTTGTATGACTATATAGATAAAGAAAAATACTATTGTTACGTAGGATGCCGAATTTTTGACACAGTTCAACTCAGTGTGCTTGGTATGGGAAGCTTTTCTGTATATGGTATGTGTTAAAATCATCACCAAATCCTCGTTACTTTGATAACTCAAGGGTTCACATTTTCTTAACCTATGAATGTCATACGTAAAAGCTAAGTCAAGTTTTATTTCATTTGGGTAAGGAAATGAATTATTTGTATATACCTGCTCAGACTCATCCTTTCTGGCCTTAACGCTGTAAAGAGATAAAATGAACATTAGCCTAGAATGTTCACATTGGCCTGAATCTTATGTGAATGTCCCCACTCTTAGTTGGTTTTGGATCTTTAGAAGCAAAGTAGGAATGTATGTGTTATTTTTAATGAGTTTGGCCAGTAAGCCAGAATGAGAAAAACTTCACCATGTTTAGCCCCACTGACATTTGAGAACCAAAATGTTAAACCTAGATGCAGATGGACTGCTGAATGTTGCTAGAATCCATTTAGTAAAGTAAGCTGTGAACACTTCTGGGTTGGTACTGAGGAAAGGGTTTTGGGAAAGAGTACAAAGTAGCTGAGGAGAAAAGGCGCAGCTCTAAATATACATTATTTGATGCAAGAATGATGCCCATTTTTTGGATTTACTCTTTTAATATAGTGGACTGATTTTTTCTTTTCAGCTTAGTACTTTGAAAGAGCTTTAACTGATTGATATTTGTAATTCAGTGACATTTCCCCAGCAGCAGCAGGGACACTCTTTTCTGTCTTTGAAGGAAACTCCCCAAAATGTTGAGTCCAGTGATTACTGACGATGGATCCTCACTGAGTGCTGAGTGGTTAAATGAGATTACTTACCAAGTGGGGACAGGTGCTCTCAGAGATCAGATACACAAGCTGAGCAGTTTGCTAAGTTTTTAAAATCAATTCTTTCTCCTGTTTTGAAACTGTACTATATTTAGTGGTTACCTTCAATAAAGACATATTTTCTTATTAGATAATAGTACACAGCTATCTTTCCCTATCTGAACTCTTGCTATTCAGCCTCCAGTACCAAATCAATCTGCAGAAATTTCTGATGAATCCCTGTTTATTCTCATCCTGGCAATTCAATATCTGAAATTCAGGAACCAGATGGATTTGGATTGCAAAAGATACTTGTAGTCTTAATTTTATTTGCAGCTCCCCTGACTTTGTGTTCTTTGTTACCTTATTCATTCGTTGTATCTTAGAAGAGTTGTTGTTCTCTTGTTGGAGATTTTTTTTTTTTAACTGAAGTGTTTACAGAATGTAGGGGACCAGAAAAATACTTCATCAGTAGCATTTAAAAAATTTGAAATGTCAATATATTTTGATGACTCAATAACAAAGACTATCACAGAAACAAGTGTAAAGTGTGTGATCATCAAAGTAGTAAGAAGCATATGCATGTCAGATTACTTTGCCATGTTAAAACAGATTCTAGTGCTTACTATTTGAAATGTGTACTATAGTATTCTTATTTCCTCCTATTACAGCTCAGTAAACAATTTGCCTTTCATTTGCCAACTGTAATTTCCACTGTTTTTCACTGGTTTATAATGCTCAGTAACTATCCACTGCACCTGAATATCTGCCTATTCTTTTGTTGCACCAATCAGATACATTCCTTTTAGGGTACTAAATTTGGATCTTTCTTCTTTGAGCAGGAATATTCAACGAAGCAGTTGACCAATCTGGTGAATGTTTGCCTGGGATCCCATATCAATAAGAAAGCAAGACAAAAACTTCTAGCAGCTATAGATGATATAGACAGACCTAAAAGATAATGAACACTGCTCTTTTTCCTCAATGGCATTGATCCTTACTCAACATATATGACCTGAAAGCCAGTTTTTTAATGCACTTCTGACAACTATCTGCTAAAAAATCTTTGTGCATGTTTTCTTCGACTGGAAAGTGAAAAACATTGAAATGTGTGTGGTGTTCTCATGACTTTTATATGCTGTGGTCTCTTCAACTTTTGGTCTCATTTGTTGTAATCTGAAATGATATTGTTGCCTTGTCATAACAATGGTTATGTGACTACAGTTATACATTTTACAGAAGAATGTACCATAAGTATATAATTAGAAGAACAGTGGCTTAATATATGTATGGGAAGTTTATGGAGAATGAAGTTGGCATTTTTCTACCCTCTGAGCTTGGTTCTTACTAAGCATAATGTGAGGGTGAATGTGTAGTATCTCGTAATTATGAGCACTGCATGAGAATTAAAAAACACGTGTAAGTAACATAGATGAAAAATCAGTATGTTCTCTGTTTTTAAAATGTCAAAGTTTATGTCAGGGTTAATTTAGTTATAACAAAGTGATCATAAATGATGAAATGTAATAAATATACTCGAGTATGATCAGCCTATGTGAGACTACATTTTGATTTTTTGTGTGGCACGCAGATGTCATGAACTATAGTGCAGCTTTTAGCGTGTTCTAATTTTAATTGTTTTGTATCCTGAAACCAATGGTGAAAAGTAATTTCATTGAGTGTGCCTTTTCAATGCCTGAGTAGCATACAGAATCATGATTATGAGATTTTCTTTTATCTTTCTTTATAAACATATGGTTTTTTTTTGTTGAAAGTTTTGGTCTCTTTAAATTCACATTTTGTCCTAGGACAGTAAAACCCAGGTCAACTGACTCAGGAAGCAGTTGTCTGCTAGTCACGCGTATATGTATGGTCATATGTTCACTCTTCTTAAATATCTGCCTTTTGTAACACAAATGTAAAATAATATCAGTCTAGCCAATGATGAACTCTGGAATCCACTTAGTCTTCAGTAAGTATGTGTTGTTCCTCTAAACTTTGCCCTGAAGCCAGGGATCTTCTCCTAATATATGTGACATGAAAATCCATTTTCCATGTACTCTTACCAACTATCTGATAAGGAATTTTGCGTGTGTTCTTTCTGACTGGGGAGTGGAAGACATCTAAATTTGTGTGGCATTGGTCCAATGATTGCCATGCATGACCTGTAACATCAACAGCTGACGGAATCCTAAGGAATCATGTGAGAAACAGGCCTTGGGTCTTGTGAGTCTCTGGGACCTAAGGTGATGAAATGGATGGCACAGGATGGCATGTGATCAAGCATGGAGGTGATAAGGAAACAATTGCTACTCTGTGTCCATCAGCCCCTGCGATGTCTGTAAGTGCACAGTGTAATGTGAAGCACTTTCAGAATATGCTTGTGTGTGTCTGTATGCTGAGTGTTTTCATCCTCTCACTTCACAGTTCATTTACTGTCAGTTTAAAACTTTCCTCTTGTAAAAAGGTATGAGTTTGGTGCCACTGTGATTTGCTTGTGGCTAGATCATGCACTCGTGAAGTAGATTCTGCCTGTAGCCATTATTTATATGCAGCCACTTGAAGAAAACAAACATGAGATAAGCTGGGTCTTTGAGTTTAAATGGCATATTCAGCTGGGCACATAAAGAGCTAATCAATCTTTTTAAATTTTCAATTGATGAGGAGCTGCTTATTTGTCGTTTCTACGTGGATTTTATAGTTGCTTCCTTTAATTTCTACTTTAGTTGGCCCTAGATAATATGAACAGTAATTACCTGCCTGGTAGAGCCCAGTGTTTTCCAAGGTAATAGGAATTGATACAAAAGAATTACTTATCTTGTTAGAGACTCAGCCATGCAATCTGACAGACATTTTAACCTACCCTTACTTTGCTCTCTCCATCTTCAAATGAAATGGTGAATATTTTTAATGCTTTTGAAAAAAGTTTCTTTGGTTTTTGGTTTTGGTTTTTTTTTTTTTTTTTTTGCATTAAAAGGTGGCTTAATAAGTGCTAGCTAGCATCAAAACAGTAACAGGAGATTTGAGTCATGAAATTACCTAATCACAAGAGAATTACCAGACATTTCTCAAATACTTTATACAGTAATATTGAATTATAACCATGTAACATTTTGTGAAACTAATTTTAAGATAAATAGAATTGAAAAGCTGAGAACGTAAATAGAATTATACATGTTCCAAAAACTACTATCATTACCAAAAATGTATTCTTTTTGAGTCTAAACTTTCCTTAACTTTGATATTTTCCATGAAAGTGTCCTGTAGAATTTACCATGGGAGCATGGTAAATTAGCATTCCCTGAGAAAGAATGATTCTTTCTACAAATACATTGTCTTGCATTTAAAAATGCTAGGGGGACACATAGCAATTCAAATGAACTAGTTTGCTTTGGTTTATAAAACCAACAGAGATCTTGTAAGTTCACTTTAACTAATAAACTCATTTACACAACTTATGAAATGAATTTCTCTTGAAACCAGGGCCATATGGTATTTTACCATATCTTTAAATAAAATTTCGTTTCAAAATTTCTATTTGGCTGAGTGCTAAAGTGAAACTTTGTTATATTAAATACCTTTTTCTTTACTCACCGAAAAGTAGTAAAAGGCTTGTAATTCAATTCACCTTGTAAGCATAGTTGTCTTTTGTAATAAAAAATCAGATCTGAAGATGAATTGATGAATATAAGTTGTGCTCAAAGCATACAGAAGTACAGGTTGGGGGGGATTTCCGTATATATATATATACACACACACACACACATATATATATTTCTCTTTTGGAATAATTTTGATTCAGATAAGTGGTTAACAAAATGATACTTGGCTTCTGACAATGATTAATGACAAGAGAATTATTAATACTCTGGTGTAATCTTTGTAAATGTTAAGTCTGGTGCAGCTTTCTACAGATTTTTTCTTATTGTGGAAAATACTTGCTCAATTCCTATCATCCACAGCTTTATAAAGGCCATGAAAAAGTTTAAGCAGTACAGCTCTCACAAGGACAAAACTGTGTCAGATTTATACAAGAGAACTGTTAGCTGTTTCAAAATGAATGGAGAAAAGTAATCCATTTGCTTTGATATGTTTTTCTTGATTGACATATCCTTTTTGAATATTGCTAAGTATACCTAGATCATTTTTTTAATATGAAAACAAAACCACAGCTAAATATTCTCCTTCACTTAGAAGTATCCCTCTGGAATTTTAGTCCTTTATTGATACGATTAATATAGAACTCTTTTTGGTCTGTTTTTGATAAAGAACCATTTTTATAAGTTAATTTAGACATCACTTTTTGATCCCAAGACTGAGAAGACTTGGCCCTGCTGAGGATTTCCAAATTTGCCCTGTAGGTATTTTTTCTCACTGAGCTGAGCCTTTCCATCCAGGGAAGGGATTTTCTTCATCAGTAGTTTTTGTTTTACTCTGTTCCTTCCCAATCCTAGGTCCCAAAAGGATTTCTGCTTTAAAGAAAAGGCATTTCCACAATGTGGGCGTTTTAATCCAGCTACACCAAATAACAAGCATGCTAATCTTCACCCAAAAAGAAAGGACTTTGTAGTCAGGGTTTCCATTTTGACACCGCTCAGTACTAGAGCCTATGCTAAAGTGTAGTGACACCATCAGGTAACCACTGGGAGACTATTTTTGCTGGCTTCCTGCTACCTGCCTTACCTTACTTCTGTTATCCCTGCTTTCCTAATCACAATCCCACCTTTAAGCACCCAAGCAAAATGCTATCCTTTCTGTGAAACTTATCCTTCCCAAGGAGAGATGCTGTGGAGAAAAACTGATAGGGAGTTGTGATGGTCACGATGATAGCACGACTTTAACAAGGATCGTGGCAGAAGGCCTCCCTTGGGAGGAAGGAAAGAGTCTTGCCATGCAGATGTCTGAGCGAGCATTGCAGGCTGAGGGAATGACAAGTGCAAAGGCCCCAGGGTGGAGGCTGCTGTTCAGAGAACAGCAAGGAGGTCAGTGTGGATGGCATAGTAAGCAGAAGAAAGAAAGAGCAGAGAGAATGTGGCAGGAGGGGACACATACAGGGAAGGACTTTGGATTTCACCTTCAGATGGAAGCATTTGAAGGGCTGTGAACCAAGTGATGACCTGATTTGTGACTTAGGGTTTACCAAAACCACTCTGGATATTTGAGAAAGGGCTAGAGAGGGACAAAAAGCAAAGCAAAGAAACAAGGTAGGAAGCTAATTTGGTAAACCATGGGAGGCTAGGATTGCAGTAGCATTGCAGGATATGGTGAGGGATGGGCAGACGCTGGACATATTTCGAAGGTAGAAACAAAATGATTGATATTTGAGAAAAGTGTGCTTAAAGACTTTCTGGAGGAAGTAGAAGTCTTTGGGGAAGACTGGGTTTGTGAACAAGATCAAGAAAACAGTTTTGAACAGAGAAGTTTGAGATACTTGGTGATAAATTGTTGGAGGTGTAGGAGAGGGTACCTGCATGCAAGTCTGGAGTTCAGAGAAGAGGTCAGAGCTGTAGATGTAAATGTGGGAGTCATCAGAATATAATGTAAAACCAAGATTTATTTAGGAGGCAGAAAACTTGCAAGCATAGGACAGTAAAAAATTTTTAAAAGGCACTTCTCCCCATCCCCTTGCCATTGTTTCCATGAGAGATGAGACAGGACCAGGGTACTGTGCTGGAGGGGCAGTTTTCTGGAGCAAATATGAGAACATCTTGCCACCCAGGGACCTACTGGGTGGACATTTGTAACTCCTTTAACTGGACATTGTAACTCCTTTAACTGGGAAGCCGTCACTCTTGCCGGAAGATGCACTCTGGTGCAGCTTGTCATCTGGGCGACTGAGTGAGTTTCAGGACCATGTGGTCCCAGAGTGTCTTCCTCCATGACGCTGGCTGGGCATTAAGAATGCTGTAGTAGATAAGACGAATGACGTGTGCCCTCAAGGAGCTAAAATCTAGCAGGATAAATAGATGTAAAACAAACATTTCATTACATATTGGTGAGTATTCCAAAGGAAAATGCTGGGGGTTAGTGTTCAGGAAAGACTCCCGTGAGGAAGGCATTCAAGTGGAAACAGGATGAGTAGGAGTTAAATGAGGAGGCTGAGGGAAGAGCATGTTTGAGGATTGGAAAGGGCAGTGTGTTTGGCCTATAAAAGGGAGGCGGAAAGAGGCACAAGAGGTGGAGGAGGAGCTGCAAACATAGACGTCTTCAGGCAGGAAACACGCAAGTAAAGCAGCAAATGTTATTCAATAATGAGTGACTAGCATTTTGAAAAGTGGACAGTGTGGGCCAGGCTGTACCTACAGGCACTTGAATTATAATTTTAAACTGCATCCAAATGAACTAATCACTCCTGCTGGCCCATTACTTGAGGGGAAGAAGGGAGTCTGTAGAGAAGAGAGACTCAGAACTTCATCTGTGGGTTCTGCTGTGCATCCTCGACAGCATCTGGCACAGAATCTCAGCTAAGATGGATGAAACCCTCTACTCAGGCCCTTTGAACTAGAATTTTTGCCTAAACTGAACTAAAGAGTTGGTGAGTTCCTTTGGGGCAGCACTGGCACATATATACTCCTTACACTCCAAAGCTGTCTCTCCTGGATCAAACATGTAATACTGATTTTTCAATATTGTTGAAAGAAGACTAATTACTAAGTAATTGTTGAAGAGAGATGTGCATTGGCATTTGAAGCTAAAATATTAGTGATTTATAAAGAAGCAAAACTTACCTCAATTCCCCCTTTTTTTTTTTTTTTTAACATTTGCATGCTGAGTAAGTTGAAACTTGTCTTGTTGTATTAGACTGCCCCAGACCCCTGGTTCTAAAAATGTGGTTCCCAGTAGCTTCAGCATTTATTACCTGGGAACTTGTCAGACAGGCAGATTCTCGGGTCCCCCCACCCTGCCCCTAGACATGCAGAATCAGAAACTTGGGAGGAAGCTCAGTGATGGGCATTTCAACAAGCAATGATGCACACTAAAGTTTGGGAACCATTGCCTTGCACTTACTTGTATACACACACACACACACACACACACACACACAGAATGAAAGCGATCCAGAGAAGTTCACCTGTAACTTTCCCCTAATTAAAAAAAACTACCGTATAGCTATTCCAAACAGGAGGAGAAGGCCTTGTTTTAGTTTTTAGAAAATTATTTATCTTTTACCCACTTAATAATTGTTACTATTCTTCAAGATAGATCTTAGACACAGAATATTATTACCTTTCCTGAAGGAGCCTCTAAGTGACTGGTGTTTGAACAGGCCAGCAAGCATGTTGCATGTCCTTCACACTGACTTGAGTTGATTAACCAAGATTCTCCCAGGAGATTTTTAATTGGTGCATGAGTCATGAGCAGTGAGACAGGTGGAACTATAAGAATAATGTAATGTATCTTACGGTGATTTGGTCTTTGATTTTCTTAGCAGTTAATTGAATCAGGTGGAGAGAGAAGCCAGGTCATGATCTGGTAAGGGAAGCTAGCCATCCAGATGGTTATTGTATGTGAATCAGCTTATAAAATTTCACTTTGCTGAGAGTCCCCCAAATCTAAGAAGTGCTAAAACATCTGACAGAATTGGTTAATGTGCAACTTTGTATTTGCAAATACAGAAGGATTTGTAGAGGCACCTGTTTCTATTACAAAGCCACAGCTGGACTCTGTAAAGGTGGTGTTCAAGAACATCTCTTTTAGCTTTTAAAATGAAAAAGTGGAGTTATTAAGCTGAAGTTATTCTGAAATTTCCACAAAGCTCAACACAAAAAAAAGGACTATTATAATTCTTTTCCTAATAGAATACATCAGGATGATTGAATTCATCAGTCAGAATTACTGGGGGAGGGCATGGTTGGAAAAGTGACTTAAAATCAGGCACAAGGCACAACATTTTTTTTTGTATGTTCCTTATAAAGCAAATTCTAAGAACTACACTTTCTGAGAACTTTCAAAGATCTATCCTTTCTCAAAAGAATATGTGTCCAACTTACTTTTGTCTTGCAGACAGCCTACAAAGCAAGCCTCCTCCTATGACCTGTCTCCTCTGTATGGACGCCATCTGCCAGCTCCTCCCAGTAGTCCTTTGCTGTCACTACCTCTTTAATGGCCTCTGTTTCTATATCCACATTCACCCAGGAATCCTCAGTGACGGCTTCCTGCCAGCAGCATCAATTCCCCAGCCTACCACTTACACCACATTCCAAGCTCTTCATGCTATGTTATCTTGGATATATTACCTTGGCTTGTCTCCTGTGCAAGGGGCTATCCACCACATTTATGTGTCTCCCACAACACTCGAGCCAGCACTGAACAATTAGTCACAATAAACTTAGTGTATAACATTCACCAAGCATGCCTTAAATGATTTACCTTTATACATTTAATTCTAACAAATCTGTATGGCAGCTAGCATTATTATTACTCCTACTCTCTACAAATGAGGAAATTATATAATCCATTTAATTTCTGTGTAACTCAGTAAGTGAAGGAGGTGGGTTTGACTCAGCCAACAATCTACCATGATTCCACAGCCTGTGCATTTATCTATTACCCTAGAAGTCATCTGAAGCAAATAATTTTTGTTTGATTAATTTAGGAAAGACATGTCTCATTCTAGATAGAG